GCAAGATGGCAGCCATCTGCAAGCCAGTGCTTCCATCTTAATAACAAGTCTTTTGGTTTATGAACAAGGGGCACCTTTCTATTTATTTAGGCCTTCTTTAACATTTTGTAGTTTTCAGAGTACACATTTTGAACTTCTTTTGTTAAATTCATTCCTATGTATTTCTTTGATGCTATTGCCAATGGAACTGTTTTCTCAATTTTATTTTCAGATTTTTTATTGCTACTGTATAGAAATAGAATTGATTTTGGTATTTGATCTTATATCTTGAAACCTTAATAAACTTATTATTTCTAATAAATTTTTAGTATTCCTTGGGATTTGCTGTACAAGATCATGTCATGTGCAAACAGAGATAGTTGTACCTCTTCCTTTTTAATCTGGATGCCTTTTATTTCATTTTCTTCCTTAATTAACCTAGCACTAACTTGAAATGCAATGTCAAATAGAATTGGTGAGAGCAGACATCCTTGTCTTGTTTTTGATCTTACAGGGAAAAGTTATATATAAGTTTTGGTGCCGCAAAAGGAATAGCACTAGAATATAAAATTTTCTTTTTAATTCTCAGCAAGGCAAGTTACTTCTGTAGCAGGGTGCACCCTTACAGATGGAGCAAAGGTGAGGGTGCACTTGGACAAGGGAGGGGAAGGGGTTCTTATCCCTGAGGCACGTGGCCCCTGCTGCTGTGTGGTTCCCCTATTGGCTAGGATTAGACCGCACAGGCTAAACTAATTCCGATTGGCTAATTTAAAGAGAATGACGGGGTGAGTGAATTGGCGGGAGTCAGGGCAGAGCAGGTAGCAGGTAATCTGAATGAGCTAGAGTGGAGCATGTGATCAGAATGAGTTAGGGTGGCACAGGTGATCGGAATGAGTCAGGGTGGAGTAGGTAATCGGAATGAGTCAGGGTGGAGTAGGTAATTGAAAAAGGTTGCTTTACAAGGAAGTTAAGTTTAAAAGTAGAAGGCAAAGAATTGAACATACTGACATATTAATTCTTTGAAAAGAAATTTAGAACTCATATCTAACAGAAACATTCAGTCTGTCACCATTAAGTATAATCTTAGTTGTAGGTTTGTCTTTGTTCTAGAAAGATAGTTTTGCTGAATACATAATCTTTCCTTGATAGTTATTTCTTTTAGTACATTAAAGATACTCTTCTGCTGTTTTCTAGTTTCCTTGTTGCTATTGAAAAGTCAGCTGTCTGTCCATTTACCATTTATATGCAGATGATTTGTCTTTTCTCTCTGGCTGCTTTTAAGATTGGCTCTTTGATGATCTGAGGTTTTACTCTGGTATGTGTAGGTGGATTTCTTTTAAATTTTCCTGCAGGAATTTATTAGGTTTTCTGGATTCAAGGATATGTGTCTTTCAACAGCTCTAGAAAATTCATAGCTGTTGTCTCTTCAAATAATGTCCTCCCACTCATGTTCTCTACTATGTATCCCCAGAACTCTGATTAGAAATACATGTCAGGACTTCTCACTATATTCTCCACATATTAGCTTCTTTTTTTTTTTTTTTTTTTTTACCACCTTCTCATATTTTTGATCTATTATCTGTATAACATTTTTTGGATGAAATCTTCTGGTTTATTAGTTCTTTCTTTAGCAACATCTAATCTGCTATTTAATTTATACATTGAATTTTTAATTTCAAAGATTATATGTTTCTGTTTTTAGAAGTTTTACTTGTTTCCTTTTCAAATCTTCTGTACTATTTCTTATAAGGTACTGTTGGGTTTTTTGCTCATATTTTCTAGTTTGTTTAAATGTATCAATATAGTTATTATATAATGACAGAAAATTTCAATATACAAAGCCATTGAGGTTCTGATTCTGTTCGCCATTGTTTCTGCTGGCTCTCACTCCATTATAATTTGTAAGTTTTTGACTGACTGTGAGTTACCCATTTTCATAATCACGCTATGTGTGGAAAGTCTTTGAGGCCTGGAATAAAGTTGAGTTCCTCCAAAGAGGAGTATCATTTGCTTTTGCCATTTGCCAGGCGGGGAGACTGCTGTAACTTAGATTTTCTGCTTGACTCTATTGTATATTTTATATATTGTTATAATTTTTATTATAAATGTACATGAATAAAGGGTGGATTATGGACAGATATTTTCATAAACAATTTTTCATAATTTTTTTTTTTTTTTTTTTAGACGGAGTCTCACTCTGTCACCAGGCTGGAGTGCAGTGGCGCGATCTTGACTCACTGCAACCTCCACCTCCTGGGTTCAAGCGATTTTCCTGTCTCAGCTTCCCGAGTAGCTGGGACTACAGGTGCCTGCTACCACACACAGCACATTTTTGTATTCTTAGTAGAGACGGGGTTTCACCATGTTGGCCAGGCTGGTCTTAAACTCCTGACCTCATGACCCTCCTGCCTTGGCCTCCCAAAGTGCTGGGATTACAGGAGTGAGCCACTGTTTTATTCCCCTCTACCCAGTGCCAAAGTTGGAACAGGCAAGTTTCCTTGCTCTCTCCCTCTCCAGAGCCAGTTTATTTCTTATCCTTCATACACCGAGAACATTTTTTTCAGGGGGAAACAGCTGTATACATAAGTCTCCTATTGGATTCCCACTTTGACTAGATGCTAAGCTTTGCCTCCTGTTCTCCATGATCCATTTAGACAACAGAGTAAAAGCTCAAGGTCTCCAAGGTTTAAGATAAACTATCAGGATGAAATAAGGCATTGGGAGTCACAGCAGGGTTTCTGTTTCCATTTTTAACCTTTGTAGATTCCTTCCTTTCATGTCAGCACAGCAGTGCATGTTAAAATAGTTGTAAAAGAAATTCATAAAAATTTTAGATTATTTAGATGAGAAAACTGTCTAATAGGGTACTTAATTGTCATGTTGATTACTGTTGGAAATAAAAATCCTCTCATTTGTTTTACCTTTAAGCAAATGGACATTGAAAATATTCAGAAAAATATTGGTCTATTTTTTTCCCCCTTAAAATCTACTTTGAAAGAGATTCCACAAACTCTGTGTGGTAAATGTGAAAATGGTCAAATTATTCCTTTGTGCATTAACACCCTTGAAATCTGATGCTGCAGATCCCCCTACAAAAGGCAAAGTTTATTTCTCCGTGACCTTGAATCTGGGTTGGCCATTTGGCTTGTTTTGGCCAACAGCAGGACATTAAGCTGAGGTTTGAAAAGGTCTTACCTATTAAAGCTTGTTCTCTCTTTGTACTTGGAGCTCTGAGACTACCATATGAACAAGCCGAAGCCAGCCCACTGGAGGATGAGAAGCTATGTGGAGACACCCGGGTTAGCAGCTTGCCAACCACTGCCAGCAGACCCACCTGCTGACTGCATATCATCATGATGAGGCCAGTACAGATAAGCAGAGCTAGAAACTGGGAAACGCTGCCCAGCCAACCCAGAGAATCATGAGCTAAATACATGATTGGTTTAAGCTATTAAGTTTTTGCTTAAGTAAAAGGTAACTGATACATTCTCTTAAGAATATAATCACATAACTATACCCTTAACCACTTCGGAACAATTTCCTTGCCTTTACCCTTTGTCCTACCTCAATTTCAGAGGGTGTAAAAATAATTACTCACCAAGATATTCTTGCAATTCAACTTATACTAAAGGGGTTTGCCAATACTCAATATAAAATTGAAATCACACCAGTTAAAATGTATCCCGTATATGCCTCTATAAACAAATTAGGAAATATGAATATGTAATTTGTTTGCTCAGTGCAGAGTCTAGTTAGATCATGAAGAAAGCAGTTCAGGATTTTCACAATGGCAGGGGAAGTCACTCTCAGGTGCATGAGACTGAGGCAGTTACTGATATAAAAAGAACCGGGGGTTTCAACTGACATTAAATTCAATATAAGCTGGTGGTGTGAAGTGGCTCCTCAGGAAGTCAGTTCAATCTCAGTTACATCAACGGAAATGTAGTCCTTTGTATTTGCCAGACCTCGAAAACTGTGATCTGTTCTGAGTATCATACTTTAAGAACGACAGCGACACACTAGAATGGATCAAAGAGGAAGACTCCAGGACGATGACACTGTTGGAATCATTTAAGATGAGACCCAATTTAAGGACCTGTGAAATAGTTTGACATGGGGAAGACCTGGATACGAGTATCTGAAGAACAGTCAAAGGGAAAAGCAAATACAAAGTATTCTTCAGACTTTATGAGGACAAATCTAAGATCAACAATAAAGTAACAAATTTTGGGTCAAACATTTACTAAACCCACAGGGCAATCCAACATTAGAATGGCCGCTCTGTGGAGCAGGGAAGCCTGAACGAAGAGGTCAAGATGCCGAGGCTGGAGAGATGTTTGTAGGGACATTGTGGAAGGGCGTGTTGCCCCCAGGCCAGAGGGCTCTCTGTGCTCTTTCAGCTGAGTCCCTTTTCCTGCTGCTAATTATCTATCTTCTTTAGGACCTCTTAGCTTGGTTGAGTCTAGGATTATATAAATTAGCCTCGTGTAAGCTGTAACAATGAAAGGTGACCTAACAGCTATGTGCTCTCAAATTACAAACCTTACCAAGGTCAAGATGTCTCTTCTCCCTTGTTAAACGTAACCTTTGAAGATTGCCACACTGTCATAGAATAGGTACTCATCTCAAAAAAAAACCAAAAAACAAAAAAACAAAAAAACAAAAAACTATCTTGAATTTTATCCAAGATAGTTTGCACTTTCATTTGCTCTCACATTGATTTATAGGCACAAACCAGGAGTCTCTTCCGATGAGTAAGTTAAGTTTGCAGGACAGTCTTTTTCCTTCTGGGTCAGCACCTGCCCCTCCAAAATTACCAGGATCCTTGTCTCCCTCACGTACCAACACACTGCCCTCATTCTAAGGGAGAATCTCATAAGAAGAGGCTCAGGGAAAGTCTCTTTAGGTCTTTGTAGATGTTCCAGCTGCCTATGTTTGTCCTTTCTGCCCCTGAGGCATGACCTGGTGGTGCAAGAATGGGCAGGAATCTAAGAAGAGGGTGGGGGAGCTGAGCCTCCTACCTTGACAGGTGAAGCATCTGATGTGGAAGTGGTTGTTGTGCACACGGACCACTTCCCCTTTGCAGGTGTCTCCACAGCGGTAGCACTGGATGACATTGGAGCTGCCCCGTGGATTATAAGGATTCTGCTGATAAGGAACTGTAAGAGAAACAAAGAGATCACTATCCAGAGGCCCTGATTCTTTACCAAGTCTGCTGCAAGACATTATCATAACTATAGCTGGAAGAAAAAGCTGAAGGGGAAGAAATGATGTGCAAAGTATCTTCAATTCATCATCAGGATGACTGCCAAGCTAAGGTAGCACTGAGTGGTATGAGACATGTCCATAGACCTCCTTAAGCAAGCAAGGACTTTTGAGCGAGCATAGCCTTTCCTTGCAAGAACACAAGCCAAATCCCTGAATGAAGACAAATAAGAGGACATAGAGTATTTCAAGGTAAATTATCAGAAATACCATCTTTTGAGTAAGCTTTAAATTAAAATTAGGCCCCAAACTTGTCCAAGGGAATTTGGGACTTGCAATTGACTCAGAAGTTTCAAAGAAGTGGGTGACTGACCCTGCCTCCAAATGGCTTTTGAGTTAAGCAAGTTACAGTCGCTCTCTGGGCCTAAATTTTCATGTCTATCAAATGAGGGTGGTCAAAGGTGGCACAGACTTTTATAAGGAAGGCATGAAGGGAACGGGAGGCACTCTGGCTGGAGGGAGGCTAACAAGGGAACTCATCTCAAAGCTGCCTTTGAACAGCACTTTCCATAAGACTGGAAAAATGTTACATGTATATAATTAAGAAAAAAATACTGGTGGAGATTATGAAAGGGTTGAAGTCACTGGGAGCTGCAGTTGAGTGGCCAGCACTTGATGATGCTTAAGAGTTCTACTAGCTTATTGGGTCTATTACTCTCTTGCTAAGACCATCTCCAATTTTAGTATATGTGCTGCTAAAGCGAGAATGCTAAGACCATTTCATGGCTACTTTTCTAGATATCCTTTTCTGAGATACACTTGGCTTGGCCATTCTAAAATCTAGTCATCTGATATTTCATTAGGCACCTGCCTAGAGCACAAAATCTCATGGTCGGAAGGAATGTTGGTAACTGTCTGGTTTGATCTCATTATGCATAAGCTGTTGAGGTAACTCTGCCACTGAGAAACCTACTCTTCTCTCTTATAGAAAACCCCTGTGGCACTGGGGAGAGAATTACTTATTTCTTCAATTCTCACTCAAAGTTGAAGGAATAGTCCAAAAACTTCTGCTCATACCTTATTAGGAGAAGGCTCACTCTTGTCCTGGTTATAAAGATAACCACCTAATTGAGGGGGAATTGGTACCTATCATTTATGTATGTAGACTTCCTGGATAAACTCTGAATAAGCATATCATAAATCAATCTGGACTCACAGCAACCTTGAACTACAAAGGAATTTAGAGCTCACCTACTTTGGGGATTCTTGACCCTGTGTGGTAGTTATGCCTGTTCACTGGAAATTTGAAGCTTTTCTTCTAGGCACATGGAGGATTGCACATGGTGACTTGCTTGGCAGTGAAATGTGAATTGAAATTGTGCATGTCCCTTCCAATTGGAAGCCTTAGGAGCCAGTATGTAATCTGCTATATTGCCTTTTCCCTCACCCAGCAATGAATGTTACCCCAGATGGTGTGCAGGATGCATCAGCTTGGATCCAGATTGAGAAGTCATGGAACAGAACTCCAAACTAACCCATCATAAACCTCTATCATGAGCAAGAAGAAATCTCTGCTGTCATTGCCTCTGAGACTGCAGCATAACCTCGGTCTGACACTTCTCTTTAATTAAATTTAGTGTTATGTACATTATCTTGCAGCTCTGTTCATATTCTCAAAGAGGTCTATGATCTCCAAAACTGATCTCATCTGCCCTCCTCCTTTTAAAAAGGAACAGGAAATCAGGACTTCTGATCATCTCCCATTTACAGGTATCCTGAATCACAAGCATGCTATAGGGCAAAGAGCTGGTTGCTTAGCACCGAAACTGTGGCTTCTGACAACTTTGCTAACTGGGGTGGAAGAATAATATACTTCTCACAATCTTTCTTTCATGGAGTTTATGCACATTATTCATCTATTTTTCTCTGTCTTAAATTTAAGACAAAAATCAAATGAATCAGCTAGTTAACTAAATCATTAATTAACTCATTAAATAGGTCAATACATGCAAAATATTTCAAAAACTGCATTAAGCGCTCCGCAGACGTTCGCTGGTATCACGGCCATCACATCCCCCCTGCAGCTCTAAGCAATTCTTCCCCACCCCCTAGAATGTTCATAAACATTCTCTTTAATCTTATTTTCTTTTCTTTTTCTGATTCTTACTCAATGTTCCCTGGAAAATATTTCACTCTCTCTTCTGCCCTGAATTTGTGAGAAAAATATAGATTCTGTTTATATGAGCAGTGTGGTGATCTACCATTGCCAAGGGAAACAAAGCTGTGAGTCTGAAAATAAAATAAGAACGAATAGTACAATCATCACCATTAATGCTGAGAGCTCTTAGAAGTCTCCAACAGTCCCTCCACGATCACTGCACAAACTTTCATCTACCTCCTCTAATTCAACCTGTCTTATTGTTCAAGAGTCAACTTCTTAGATCAATTTGATTTTTTCTAATTGGATTTGATTTTCTGGGAAAGTGGATTTGTGAGCATGGTCTTCCATCAGAACTCAGTCTTTGAACCACCCGGATAAAAAAGCGTAAAATCAGAGCGAGGGGAATGGATTGGGAAAATAAAATTTTCTGGGGCTGAAGTAGTGATGGGACCCCAGCCCTAACCCTGCTGCATCCCCTCAAGAGAAGGATGCTGCTTTGCTGATGCTGCATGTGGCCAGAGCTCTAGAAATGTCTGATGTTTGTAAATAGTCCCATAAGCAAAAATTCATACATTGTTGGTGTGAATTCTTCCAGATTGCTGATGTAAGCTGTGATTATAAAAGAACAGTGGTATAACAAGATTTGAGCTCACAGGTGTGGCAAGACCTTTCCTCATGCAGACTGGAAGTAGAACTCTGGGTGTCAAGGGAAGCTAGGCTGGGATATGCCACATCCCTGCTCCTGCCCTGTAAGCCAACTCACTTCCAGTAAGATTTTATATTCTTGGCTAATTAAATCAGAAACTTAATCTAACATTGTTCTGTGTGTGTGTGTACATGTGTATTGGGAGTGTGTGTATACTTCTTCCTACCAATCTATAACTGCCCTGAAACATTAAAATTTGTTGATTTTCTGCTGGTTATCATTTCCACTAATTTTTATATCAGAAAATGCAAAGTTTCAGTCACATGATTTATAACATTTTTCTTATGGGTGAATGTCTTTTGAATTCCAAATTTGCTTACACATGAATATTTGAACTACCTTTTATGTTAGAAACTGCCTACCCTTGAGAGCAACATTTGAGACTAGTCACAAGCCTTAAAGGACATTAGCTCTGCTCATTTGTGAGATAATCCATGAAGCTGCAACGTTTAGACCTTATGGATTATGTGATCAATTTCTGAAATGCATGCAGAGAACCTCTGGCTTCTTTTTACATTACTGGCCAATAAAGGGTGCCCAAGACAGACATTCCCAGTTACTAGCCCTTAGTGTCATCCACTAGAACATTCTGAGATGATAGACATGTTCCAGAGATCTAAGTTGTCTAACATAATAGTCACAGGTGACCACTGGGCACTTGAAATGTAACTAGTGTGACTGAGGAACTTAATTTTAAATTAAATATAATTTTAATTAAAATAAATCTACGTTTAAATAGTCACAAGTGATTAGTGGCTACCATAATGACAGTGCAGCCTGATAGTTAAAAACAACAACGACAAAAAAAGACAACAAAAACCACAAAACACCAGGCAGAGGGAAAAGAAATGAAACTTGGTTGAATCCTGGAAATATAAAAATAACATGTACAAATTAATTTAGGAATATCACCTCACACTAAAATGATTCGTTTTTATCCCTAAAGAGTTCTAAAGTTGTACTTAAACAATTTGCAATTGGAACCAATTACACAGTCACCCATCCTGAATTTGACCTGGAAACAAAAGATCATGAGCAGTGAAATAAATGCTAATTTTTAAAGAAATCACACACTTTCAGGCACTGAAAGACTGAACAATCCTAATCTTTCCAAGAATAAAAGCAAGTAAATCAGTTGCCAATGGCTGTCGGTATAATTTTTTAAGACAAAACAAAAAACAAAAAACAACTTATCAATGCCTCTGAGATTAAAAATTAGGGATCTGAAACATTAAGCCCTCTTTTATATGCATACCAAATCTTTAGAGTTCTATGAAAAAGTACATCTTAATTCCACAACTAAATTTGTAAATAGAGCTCTTCCCAAATTTTAGAGATAATTTCAAGTTGTTGGAGCAAAACAACATATTGGAAGGGGAAGTGTGACCGACCTCCAGGTAAATGAAAGGAGCATGGGAGTTGAACATAACAGTAAACAAATTCAGCATCCAGTTTCTCCACCTGACTTTTCCTCCCTCTCTTATCTGTTGTTCTTTGTCTCTGTGGCTGGGGTAACCTGGGTTCCAACTCCCTCTCTGCTGTTACCTACTGTTCTAATTTTGGGCACATCATCTAACTTCTTTGACCCCAATTCCCTCTATAGAAGAGGTTGAACAAAATGATCCATACAGGTCCCTCCAATTACATGATTCTGCCTTGTGTGTCCTCTTCTGTGATTCTTTCTCTCCCTCCACACTCTCTCCTCTCCAGTAACTGGTCTCACTTTTAAACGAGACTTTGCTTTAAGTTATCAGATTTATTAGTCTCTTTTAAAAACAGCTAACGACACGATTCCTCTCCTATAAGCAATGTGACCTAAGTTATGTTCTTTCACTGATGTGCTGCCTGCACAGTTTTTTCCTCTCCTGAGAGTAGCTTGACCTTGTAGATAAAAATGTTTCCACATTTTAATAGAGTGTCTTTAAAGTAGTCTTTAAAAGGTAGGAGCACCAATGCTATGCTGGTGTATAATTAAAAGAGTGGCAAAACTGACTTGGAGACAGCGTAACAACTGTGAATAATTGGCTGGAAGTGTAATATAAACAGTGGAACTTCTGGTTGAAAGGTGAAACATCAAGCAGAGAATC